GTATGGGAGCACCTTACAGCTTCCTGTAAGCTTCCAGCCAGGGCTCTATAATCTGTTCTAACATTACAGATTCACTTTGGAGATTTTGACTAGCTGAGCTCTGCTAGAAGAATGCAATGTGGCCACCAACCTGACATGAAGATCGGGGCAATCCTGTTTATTGAGGGTTTGTCTGGACCACCCCCACTAAGAGTCTTGTGAATCTCACCTATGGAGCTGAAACAAATCTGCTTCATCTTTAAAGAAAGGGAAGTGCTAAACAGACTACTTTTGTGATCCACTTCCATGCCAGAGACTCAGCTCCTCTAAAAATTAGGACCACTAGAAAAGACTCTGCAAATAGCCTTTGTCACATTAAAAACTGAGCAGTAAGCCAGGCTCAAAGAACACAAGGCAAAATCGTGCCATGCCTGTCCCAGCTCTGCAGTCAGGTAACCAGGGAGACTGCACTGCTGAGCAGGGACAGTGATGGTGTGAGGCTGAGATGGAAAACAGTGCCTTTAGCAGCTCTCAGCAATGTGGTCAGCACTGCAGCTCCTTGGAGAGGCTCAGCAGAGAGGCCAAGGCTTGAAGCTCTGCAGCAGTCAGTACTGAACTCTCCATGGACCCCTCTCAGGTGTCAGGCCCTGATCAAAGCAGCTCACAGCAAGAAAGGGAGGACAGAAATAGGTCCATGATTTGTGACCAAGCTCTGACTTTATTACCAGGACCCAAAAACCACCCAGTTGTGCTCACAGGACTGCACCATCCCCATGCTGGGGCTGAACCCCAGCTCTCAGCTCAGCGCTGAGTTCATCACTCTCCAGCTACCAGATCTCAGTGCTCTGATGCCAAAAAATTTAGTCAGACAGTTTGTGGCCCTTCAATACTCCACAGAGGCACAGCCCATGGCCAGACATGGCTGACTGTGTGGGGAGGGTGACCTTGAGTCCCTACAGTCCTCCACTTGGCGCTGCAATAATAAATACACCCCAAACCATTGCTGACTACTCTGGTGGGTGCATAAATCAGACCAGTTCTGAGCTATGGCTCAGGCTAAGGTGAGCCATAGCTCACAGGAAGCTGTTCTCAAGGTGGTTTGAAACTCTCTGCCTTCATTTCCTCAGCCTTCTAGGGGTCATTACAGAAGATCTGTGAGGGGCAACAAATGCTTGTAAGGTACATAATTGAAAGGAATAAATAACAACTAGTGAAACTTGATGATAGGTATTAAAACTGACTAAAAGCTATCCAAGCTGAAGAGAATTAAAAATACATGAAACCCAGCCACAAGCCTAATGAACAATTGCTTCACAACTGTTCCTAAATCATCTTTAAAATATATATTTTTTAAAAGAGCTTTTAAAATTACAGTTTTTTTAAAAAAATACATAAAAATGTTAAGAAAAAGGAAATAAAATAGGGCCTTGTAAGGATTCATTTAAACTCTACATGGAAAATAACTCTGGGTTCCTACTTCCCTCCAGTATGGATTGTAAGAAATCCCCAATCACTTTTGTGCCCATTTAAGCAGGTTTTCTCTCCCTGTGCCTCCTGGACACTGTGTGTTCTTCCAGTATTAAGGACAGCCAAATGCAATTTAGCCAAATTCACACCTTTCACTCCATAATCTGCGATCTCTGCGTCAGCCTTCTGTGTGGGGATGCAGGGCCACAAAAGGTCAAATGCGCCATTTGGTAACAGACTCCCTTTTCTGGGCTTCCTTCAGATTCTTGTTCTCCTCACAGTGGCAGCTCCCAGCCCTGAGACCCCACTGACACGGTGAGTACACAGCACCTCTTGGTCAGGACAGGGCTGGAGCTCCTTGTAGGCACAAAAGCCTCAGTTTAGCACAAATCCAATTTTAAATGCAAAAGCAGGTTCTTAATAAAAAAAAAAAGAAAAAAACAGAAAAAAAAAAGCAGCAAGCCATCAAGGTAGCAGACTGTGTGATGGATATTAGCCATGCACTTAAGTGTCCTGCTGAATCAGGGCCGTGGCCTATCGATTACAACGCTACATTAATGACGTAATTTTCTCAGAAATGATGATGGAGTCTGGATCTTGGCCAAGGATATCCAACATGTACAGCAACAACAGACCCAACAACAGCCTGTGAATCAGCCCCCTGGCCTGACAACACACCTTTACATACCCTGTGGGTCCAGCACTGTGGGTCTCTAGGGCTGGCAGCACCTTGTCTTGCCAGGGACAGATCTGAGCGGAGGAAATTTGTGCTGATTGCAGGTGGACTGTGCAGAGGTTTATAGCTGGGCCTGTTGTGGTTTAACCCAGCAGGGAACTAAGCACCACACAGCTGCTCTTTCACTCCCCCACAGTGGGATGGGGGAGAGAATTGGGGAAAAAAGTCATTCCCCCTTGTTCTGTCACTACATGCTCTTGTAAAAATTGTCTCTCTGTCTTTCTTATTATCCACATCACTCTCCTCCTAATTCCAAACCACAACACCATACAAACTACTAGGAAGAAAATAAGTTCTACTCCTGTTGAAATCTGGACACGAGTCACTAAATATGACCTAATTAATAAAAATTAATTAGCTAGCATTAATCAAGTAAAATCCATTAGCAATCACTCTAAGAGCTGAACAGAAAGGTTGCAAAAGAAAATCTATTCAAGGTTCAAACTACAGCTCCAGCACCATCCCCACTGTCTGTATTTAATACCACCAATGCCTTGACATTCCAGGCCAGTTCCCCACATGGAGTGAATCTCCAGACTAATTTGGCGCCTGCCAAGCACCAAATGGCTCTGCCCCCACTGCTCCAGGCAGAGCTGTGGACAGAAGGAGCAGCCATCATGCAGAAGATGCTGTTTTTCTCTGCAGTTCTCAGCTGCAAAGGGCTGAACCAAACTATAGGCACTGGCAGCTTGCTGTGTGGTCCCTATCCGTGCATCCCTTTGGCCAAGCCCAGGGATGTACCAAGCCAGGACATACCAATCTCATCTCATTCATCCTGAGCACCATCACACACTGCTAACAGGCTTGGTGGGCTCTTCATGTTCCTGCAGCAGTGCTGCAAGGTGCAAGCCTGTAGTTACAGCACCTCGTCCTGACCCGCTCCTGGGAAGCTGCAATCTGTGTGTTGGTGTACCTGTCCTGGAGCACCTGAATCATACACTGCTGCATCTGATCACAGTACAGAAGATTTCCCCTCTCCTCCCTCTTGCATCTTCACCCCAAATTTGGAAGCCGCACAGTTTTCTGTCACCCACCCACCCGTAGGAGCCTATTGCCGGCGCAGGGTTTCATTTGCAGCGTATGGGGAAAGCAATCTCTCCCCCTTTCCCCTGGAGCAGTATGGATTTCCCCAGGAATTAACCCAGAGATCCAGGCACACGGATCACAGACACAGCAGGATGCCAGCCGTGCCCTTGTCGGAAGCGAGCAGCTTCCCCATTCGCATCCGCTGCCCTGAATTAAAGCTGCCGCACGCCCAGCCGCATTCGCGGGGCAGCTCTCGAGTTAATGATGCAGGAGAGCAGCCGGCTGTGACTTCCAAGGAAGGGGAGAATGTGCTTCCAGCTTTTCCATAACAGTTAATCATTAACACCTTTCATGGTCACAGAAGGTGCTGGCCTCCTTACAGTTCCCCTTATCAGCCATAATTATTTCCTGATCGGCTCTCGCCTGACTACCTGGCAGACTGATGCACAACACCCCTGAATCACCTGACTGCATTTATTGCCCTATATTCCAAGCCAAATGGGTCTCTGCTGTGTCAGCTGCAATATTTACAGCGTTACAGTTATTTCTCCCTTCCTATGCCCAAACATAAAAAGTTGTTCTGCCCCCCACCTTGCCCTTTACACCGTATCTCTTTCTGTGACAAAGCAAAACAGAGCAGTCATCTAAATACCTCAGCACTGTCTTCTCCTCTTCTTCTCCAAAAACAACTGCTCCTCTTGCATACAGCCCGGGGGGGTACTGCTGCTATCTCCTTAAGTCCACTTGAAGTTTTCAATCATTTTAATTATATTGATATTGCCTGAATAAATACATTTCTATTTACACTTCTCTCTCTCTCTATATATATATTTTCTGACAAAGTAGCTCAACTTCATAGAGGAGAGAGATGTAAATCCAAGTGATAGATGTAAATGTGTCACCCAAATGGTGTGTTACTTGCCTCAGGTGGAGAGTTCAGAGCCGCCAGCTTAACTCTCTTATTGAATAAAAATGGAGAAAGTGCCCTGGCCAGCAAGGTTGGTCTGAACAAAAGCAGCCCTATATGAGTGGAATAGGGGAAATTGCACGAGTGGGGGGATGTCTTGTATTTAGGTAAATAAAAGAAACTTAAATAAAAAGCAAAAACTGGAAATGCAGCCCTTACTGCAGCTGTGATGAACAAACCCATTCTCAGTGAAGAAGCTGTGTAGTCTGCAGGTAGCACATGCCCATGTAACACACATGCTGTCCAAGAGTTTCACATCAAAACACATAAAAGAGGGAACAGAGATCTCCAGGCACAGAGAGGAAGAGTGGAGCAATGGGAACATGATAATCCATGATAAAATTTATTTTTTCAGTGAGACAATAGCATCTATAAAAAGGAATAAAAATGCAACAAAGGGGGATTTCATCTTCATTACCAAAGTTTGCGAAAAAAAACATTTTTAGGGAAATTCAAAACCACAAAAGAAGCAGGGGATGTACACAGCATAATCCCAGGGCTGGATTACATTGCTGTTACCAGCAGCAGTGCCTGACACGTGGCTGACTCCACATCCAGGAGGTTACAAGGCCACTCTGAAACACTTGCAATCTAACAGCTCAAACCAACACTTCCTCTTTCTTCCTAGCACATCATCCACATAACCCAGCCAGAAACTAAGGAAGTTCTCAAATATGACCAAGAATTTGGAAATGCCTTGGTCTGCTTGTCTTGATTGCTGAAGTCAGGCCACTTTCAAGGCTGACCAAGCAGATGTACGCCGTGTTCCAAGGGCATAAATAATACACTGGCAAAGTATGAAATCAGAAAATGTTCAGAGCTTACCTGCACATGCAGCTCTCTACTCTGAGCACATGGTGCTTCCTTCTGCTCTCATCTCATCTATTATTTTGCTTGGGGTTGATGCTGGTAGTGCTTTAAAAATTCCAGCTCGGGGCTCAGGGATGGTCACAAACACATGTAGAATCTCAAAGGATTACTGAAAGGCTGAAGCAAAGGAAGGTAAAACCTTCCTTTTTTAAAGCCACCATAAGAAAATGATCCTGTGGTTTACCTAAGTCATGACTTGTGGGGGGAGGGTCTCACCCCCTCTCTTAGCAAGGATAGACAAAGCATGAAGGAGAACAGATTGACCAGTGATTTTGCAGCTCCTTTCTCCATGGGAGGATGCCTCAGCTCAGACAAGAGGTGGCACAGGGAGGAGACCAAGGTCTGTTGAAATAAAAAGGGCAGAAAGGTGATTAAAGCAAAAGTGTTCAGTATTTCTCATAAACACCTCCCCGCCCCGTCCCCCTGCCAAGAAGAAAACTCCTAAACCACCAGGCCAAAACCCAAATTTAAAGCCACTGCAATCACAGGATGCACCAAAAAAACATCAGGATGCTGAGGCCAACAGATGTGACCATGGGCTTGAGGTTATGCCAGGGGATGGATCATACTACAAACAGTTTCTCTTACACTCCTCCTACACGTTACTGGTTCCAAGCCAGGGAGAAGATAAGGGTTTAGGTGAGCCTCTGGCCAGAGCTAGTACAGACATTCCGGTGATCATGGTTTCACTACTGTGTCACAAGCTGAGAGCTGATCTTGGAAAACAAGCTATGTTTCACCCCAATCAACACTCAGACACGCAGCTCCTGGAAAACGCTCATTTGATTTCTCACAGACTTTTATTTCAGGCCTTCTTCCTGTTGCTTTCTTTTGGCTTATTTTTTTTTTTTCAGCATTAAAATACACCCAATTTTAACTTACTGTTAAATACACTGCAATAAGCAGCCCTGAAAGTTGATGTCAGCTGTCTGTCCACAAATAATCCCAAAGTCCCCCTTCACTGCTGCCTGTCTGTGTGTCCTGACCCATACCTAAAGAGGTCTCTTCTAGAGCGAGCCCAGAGCTCATTCCCCATGGTGCATTCTCAACCTCTCTGCCAAGACAGCCAACACCAGTAGCTATTATGGAAGTCACTCACTGTGACACGATGTCCCATCCGTGGGGCACACAAGTCAAACTACTTCTGCAAGACCCTCTGGAGCGAGGGAGTCACCAGGGAGCAGCACAGGGCTCGCTTTTCCCTGCAGAGCATGTCTGGCTCTTTCATATATGGACACCGCAGCTTGACCTGACCACTGAACTATCTAATGCAACAAGCCCTCTGTAATCAGCAGCTGTGGAAATTAATAGCACCATTCTTTCCATTTTCAATTCAGTTTGAGAGACTTTAATCAAATCTGATGAGGGACAATGTAGCCAGTGATGAATTTATGCATGAAGCACATTACCTGCACTGCAATTATGCCTTGTGCCAATGCTCCTATGAGTCTGCTACTAGAGAAGCTTAAACAACTTCTATGGGTATCTTGGCACAACCACACCATGCAGGGCAAGTTATGGCTGTGTATTCTGAGTTGCTCTTTTACTATAGCTCACCTCACCGCTTAATTGGTGTGTATGGTGTTGGACCTTCTCTGTAAAATGTCTAAAAAGGATGCTACTTCCTAGGTTTTTAGTGGATTTCTCTGCAAAGTTCCACCTCAAGACATAGTTAGGATCCTGACCTTTAGCAAATACTTGTATCTCCTTGTTCAGGGCTTACTGAGCTGTTTGGGACACATTCCCAATGCTGCAGTTCCTGGTTCACTGCAGGCGTAGGTGGGAGCTTGCTGGCGTTTCCCAGCCTGGAGCCCGCCAGCCCCAGGGCATCCAGCACCCTTCACCCCCATCAAGCTCCATCTTGCCCATCCACTGCTCAGCCTTGTTTAACCACAGTAGAGGGAGGCAGGGAATTGTTTCCTGCCTTCTGAAAAATATTTCATGGAACTGGAAAAGGTTTATCACTCTATTTTTCTGAAGGAGGTTTTGGTTCCCAGGCAAGTTTTTTTCCTAAAATCTAAGTCACATATACATCCCTCACAAGAAATCCTGCAGTAGGGATGTAGGAAAAATTGGGTTTTGGTTAGCAAAACTGGGCTTTGGTTGCAAACATGCTCCTGCCACCAAAAGTCCTGAAAGGTCCTGATGGAAATAACTGGGTTTGGAACACATGCATCTATTAGAAAGCCCCAGCTTCCAATGAGCACAAAAAAAAAAAAAAAAAAAAAAATTTTAAAAAGGCTTCTGAGTTGCTTTATGCTCTGAAGCAAGACAAGAGACAGGGCTGGTGCCTGAACCACAGCAGAGTATAGCTCACAGACCAGTGCAAATCGCTGCCCTCTGCTCACAGGGGTGCCCCAAAGACGCTTCCAGGAGTTCCCTCCTCCCGTCTGCCGGCGCTGCAGCTCCCGAGCTGCACCCTGTGCTGAGCTGCCAGGGCCACTCGCTCCCCAGAGGGGATCCCCACCACCAGCACGGACAGATGCCACCAGTCACATCCATTCCCCGTGGCACAGGCAGGCTGTCAGCCCCGGTGACAGCTCCGCTGTGATGGCTCTGGCAGCCAGTGCCCAGAGCACAGCCAGCGCTGCTGAGTGCGGACGCAGGGCTGGGCCTGCCTTTGCACCCCTGCAGCCACAGCGGTCACTTTCTTATGGTTAAAGAGTTTTCACTGCATCTTCCAGGCCTGTTTTTTCCATTTTCCTGTTTGGCTTTTCCTTTTCACATAAAAACCAACCCATCTTTACTAGTAACTATATACATGTTCACATGCAAAGCCCTGGGAATGGACTACAGTTCCCAGAGGAGAGCACTGGAAGGCAAAAACAGGGAAACAAACTGTATTAATATGATTTCTGTTTTGCACAGGGGCTCCACCCTCTCTTTCAAGACCATGCATTCAGTTAATGAGAAACAGGGTATTCCCACCCCACGTGCACAATCCCTTTTTATTTTGTACACAGTGAGGAATTAAGACATGAGACTTTCTCAACCACTTCCCACAAGAGCTGTGTTTGGCTTTGACTTTGATAATCCAGCTTGATTGATCTTTCCCTGGCAGTGGCACTGGCGTCAGTAGCCAGAGTGATGGATGGGCCTTACAGCTCAAACAGCCTTCGGGACAGCTGGTTGAAGAGAAGCGCCTAAAACCAGCAATTTATGCTTTCTCATGTTCCTAAGCCACAGGATGTTTATGGGGACCTTTTTTCTTTACTGGTGTCTTTGAAACAGGAGCAAAATAAAAAGAGTGAGACTCTGAAGCAGCTGTGCTGCGCCCATTGCTAGAGGAGAGTGAATTATATGACTGGGAAGCAGTGGCAACTGCTCAAATTTTACATCAGCCCAAATTCCGGATGACATTGGCTCATACACTGCTTCCTAATTTCCCTCCTTGATCTGAATTTTAACTCCAGTTTCTTGGGCCAAGTGTGACAGGAGTAAATGTTGTTGTCTGCAGGCAGAAAATGAAGGTGGGAGACATGAGAAGACAAATAGCCTAGCTACCATAAAAGACAGAGTGGCATCAGTGCAGTCTCTGTGCATCCTGGAAAGATGAACATGAGTAATTTTAGGCAGTTAGAGACATTGCAGTTGTCAGGTCACAGTTTCAGATAAACTCATATTCTGCTAAATCTTTCCCAAGTTATCTCTGCCATCAGAGGATCTGTGATCACTTGGGTAATGTAACAATGGCTGAAACTTTAAATGTAGTCAGATTGATAGGCCCCATTAAGATGCTCATCAAAAGCCACTAAAAACCTACTGATTTATGGCTAGCAGCAGGAAGGTTTCCTTACAGGCAGTTATATTTTTCTTCTTCAGCTTTCAGAGCTGCTTTTGTAGAGGTTTCACTGTTTAAGCACTTAGAGCTTAATGAATACTCAGACAATTGTCTGATGTTAAGCTCCCTGGATGCCAGCGATGACTGAGGTTGAAGATAACTTAGAAAAGAGCCCAATAGCAAACGGTGAGCACCAAGGCTCCTACTGATAAGTACAATTGCTTGGTGCCCTTCAGAGCTTAAATTCGTGACCAAGTTACCAGAAAATGAATGCAAATGAACTTCAGATGACCTCAGCAACTTGCTGTGTATACAATCTTAACCTCTAGCAAAGACAGAAGGATGCAAGTGACACAGACATGCATGGACATAGCAAACGTGGGGCAGAGCCAAGCTGAGCAAGCCCCAAACACCCTTCAAAGTCAGAAATAGGAAAAAAAATTGTTCATTTGCTTCTTCCACACTGACACAGTGTCCAGGGCAGGAACTGAGAGAGTAGGCCAAGACGTTTCTGTCTGACATAAATATAATATGTATTTAACATCTTGGAGGTACAAACCTGTGTTGGCTCTCCTGGAGGTTAACAACCAGGAGATTCTGAGCACAGTGTTTCATCAAGGAATGTGACATCCAACCTACTTTCCCATTATAAAAGCAGCAGGACTACGTTTTTAGGAAGATGACAGTTTCAACATTCTTGTACTTGAGGACTTTCCCAACTATCACACAGCCATAGAGTAAACAGATGTACCAGGGTGAATTCGGGTAAAGAGTGACTCAGGATTTCTGAGGCATCATCAAGTGCAAACAAGACCTTTGAGATCAATTACTGTCTGCTTAAAGGAAAACAGAACTGACAGATGCAGTCAGTGTCACAGGGCAGTCACCTTTTTCTCTTTAGAGGTGATTTTTCCTGGAGATCAGACCTATGGAAGTGGTAACTTCACAGAATTGATCTGCAGCCATTTCATCACAGTACATAAGGAAGGCAACTTCTCTACATGGTTGCACCATGTGCCCTATTACCTCTGGGAATTGTCCTATTTCAACCAGGAGAAAAGCCACCAATATACTGAGTTCCTATGAACTGTGAGAAAACTGGGCGGCAAACGGAGCAAGAAGTCTCTGCTGGTGCCCTGCTAAAGGAAGAACTGAGCTTTCCCTTGACACCAAAGAGCACCCAGAATGATGTGTTAGAAAGAAGATCTGACTCCTGACACTGCTTGTGACACTGCTGGCTCCTCCTTCCATTAATCTCTGATGCTCCCTGATGTTCTTCAAGCAGCTGAGGTCATATCTTGTAGGACACTTCCAGCTCCTGACCACTTGTGCCAGCCTTGCTGGGCTTGGCCTTTAAAGATACTCTGCCTTTACCCAGAGCTTGGGGGCAGCTCTGGGTTCATAGTTCAAACTCTGTTGTTTTCCGCTCAGAAGAAGCAGCAGTTCCTGAAAACCTCTACTGGCTTTCAAAGAGGACTTTTTCTCCTCATTGCTTGCAGTGACTGAAACCCTCTCAAGTCAATTTGTTCCTGTAAATGTTTAGGGACTCCTCCAGCTTCCTAGAGTGCTCTGGGACCTCATCTGCAGGATCCATTTGGAGCAGGTCTGGAGGACACCCAGCTAACCAGCCACTGACCAGCCACACTGGGAGATTTGATTCAAAGCCTGACTGGGCAGGAAGCTGAGTCCTGATTTCAGCAGGCCTGCAGAACAACTCATCTCTACACTATGTGTGAGAAATTCTTAAACATTTGTTCACAGTGAGTGGCAGCTGACACTCCTCATATCACAGAGAAGAAAGAAGGGGATGGAAAAATGTCTGCCTCCCAGCTCTTACTGATGCTTTAGAATGAGAACTTTCCTCAGGGGGGCTGGTTCTTCTCCAACTTTCTACATTGTTCCTTTGAAGCATCCTGCTCTTAGATCCCTTTGAAAACAAGGTACAGGTAGTTTTAGTGGGTGAGTTATACTCTTTCCCCAGGCAACTAAGAAAACTGCAGACAATCCAAGTGAGAATCCTTCCCATATCTATTATGAAATGACCCTGAGAGACTGGAAACACTGAAGCAGCCTAACAGTAGGATAGTGTACCATCACAGTATCAAAGCCACTAAAACAGAAGTTCCCCAGATTTTCCAGTACTCCCTTGTTGTTCAAAGACTCCTACTCCATCAAAGCTCAAACTGTTGCAGGACCAACAGATCACGTGAGAGGCATCAGAGGATTATTAATTTGAAAGAAATGGGTGGAAAG